ATATATATGTATTTGTAATATATGCAAGGGGCCAAAGACTAACATGTGAAACGAACCTGTGGCTCAGACACCTTTCAGAAGGACAGGTCTCTAGAAGGCAGGGAACAAGCTCCTGCCCACAGCCCACGGGGAAATGGGACTTCAGTCCTCGACCCCAACAGGATTGCATTCTGTCTCCCACTGTGGTAGCCGGCAGAGGACCCAGCCTCGCCACACCCAGACTCCTGTTCCATGGAAGCTGAGGTAATAAACGTGGTGCTGGTTCGGCCACTCGTTTGTTTTTGTGGTCATTTGTGGTGCAGCATAGAAAAGGGACCAGCATAGAGAGCTCAAGTGAAGCGCAGTGGTAGGCTGCTGGCCCAGTGGACTCTTGGATTCTTCTGCACAGTAGCCAGGTGTGGTAATGCACATCTGTAGTCCCAGCACTATGGGAGGCTGAGGCAGGAGGATCACAAGCGTGACTGTAGTCTGAGCATCTTAGTGACTTAGCGTAGACCCTGTCTCAAAGTAAAAAACATAAGGACTGATGTGACAAGTCCCTAGGCTGAACCCCAGTGATACCATGGGATGGATGTGACAGATTCCAGGCTCTTGTGTAAGATGAGCAAAGGTTGCACATGTACATAAATGGTGATCACAGGAAGAAGTGCTCAGAGGAGATCTGAAAGATGGTGCTGGGCTGACAGGAAAGTAAAAAGCACACAGATGAATCAGGCGTTTGCCCCTCCCCTCCCCTCCCCTCCCCGTACCAGGGATCAAACTCTGGACCTTGCGCTTTTGAGGCTTTTTTTTAGCTCAGTGGCGGAACCACTGAACTAAATCCCTGGCCTCTTCAGGTTTTTCTAAGAAGTGTGTCCCAGCCTGGTGCCTCTTGCTGGTCTCGGTAAGGGGGACAGGAATGACTGACAGGGTTCCGGGTCGCTCTGAGTCAGGGCGCGTTCTAGAGTTCACTCTAAGTCACAAGACGCAATGGAAGAAGGGTTGGCCCTGGGTTGCTGCCAAATTCAAGTGGGTGGTGGGGGTGGTCTCCCAACCTCCATTGTGCTGCCAGTGCTACTAGTACTGAAAGAACAAAATGAAACAGAAGTACAGAGAATATGTATCAGGAACCCTAAAACATGCACATTTCTAAATGATTAGAAGTCTTGTTTGGAGGCCAGGAATGGTGGTGCACACCTGTAATGCCAGTACTGGGAGGCTGAAACAGGAGGATCACTGAATTTGAGGCCAGCAGGAGCTACATAGTGAGTTCAGGGCCAGCCTGGATTACACATAGAGACTCAAAAAAAAAAATGTTGTTTTGACTAGAAAGCTTCAATAATATAAAGGTGTAAATTCTGTTAAGTAAATCAAATACCAAAACCCCCCGGGTCCTTTGAGGAACATAAGTAGATTGCTGAGCAGTTCCTCTTGGAGACACCAGGAGTGGGCGGGCAGAGCACGGGGCTGCGGCAGCCCGGCACACAGCGTGGAGCTCAGGCAGCGGAGACCAGGTGTCCTGAGGTTGGACAGTGGCCTGGACACAGTGGGAAACAGCTTATCGGTGTGCTGACCTCACTCTTTACTCAGAAGTCCACAAAGTTTGATATAGAAAATAAAACTAAAAGTACTAAATGAAAATGGTTAAATGTTTTTATCAGTTTAGAATAGCAAATGCTTTTCTCAGTCTTCTGGCAGAAATATAAATGGATACATTTTTGGGGGGTGGTGGGAGTGAACCCAGGCCTCCTGCGTGCCAAGTATGTGCTCTGCCAATACGCGATAATAATCTTTATAGAAAATAATTTGACAATATCTACCAAAATTTGAAAGCATTTATACAGTTTGACTCAGAATTCACCCAACTGATAAACTCTCATAGTGTGTAAATATATAACATGCCGGGAATCCCAGCACTTGGAGGCTGAGGCAGGAGGATCGCTGTGAGTTGGAGGCCAGCCTCAATTACAGAGTGAGACCCTGTGTCAAAAAATGAGAGTGAGAGAGAGACAAAAAAAGAGTCAAAGCGACAGACATAGAGACAAAGAGAAAAGCAAGCAAACAATGAAAAGGATTTAAAAATCTGAAATAATTTGCACTCTGCACATTGCAGAGAGCTGGGTGCATGAAGGATGGGACCCCTGGACAGAAGAGAAGCCAGGGCTGTGTGCAGGCCATGGGCACAGCTCAGCCGTGGTGCTAGGTACTGAGTGTGAGTGTAGGCCCGTGTGGGAAGGTGGGAACCATGGTGTGCATGTTAAATTTTGCATTAGTAATGTTGGCAGTGCACAATGATTACATTCACCATGGGGAACTGGTACATGTATATAAGCATGTGCGATCTTTACGTCAATTGTATTTTTTCAAGACAGGCTTCTCACTAAGTTGCCCAAATTGGCCTCAAAGTTAAGATTCTCTTGCCTCAGCCTTCTGAGCAGCTAAGTCTGCAGGTATGTGTCACTATCTGGATATTTTTTATTAACTTAATTATTTTTTTGGGTGCTAGGGATAGAACCGAGGGTGTGGTTCATGTTAAGCACATCCTACCGCTGAATATCTGCTTTAATTGAAAACATTCATCCGCCGCCTGCCTTGCAAGCACAAAGACCCGAGTTCGATCCCCGATACCAAAAAACAACAACAACAACAACAAAAAAAAATTCATAACTTTTAAAAGGCATAACATAGAAGATGATTTATAATCAATGTCAAAATGAATCTGCCAACTTACCGAAAATACAAAATATGGTGAAGCGTGATTTTCGGCTTCATATAGAGACAAGAGGAAGGACAGCCTGGGTCCCGGCACGGCCGTCCACCTCTCTTGACACACATCAAGGTTGAAGACTGGGTCCCCGTATCTTCCTCTTCCATCCTGACGACTGGTCCCTGGCAGTGAGTCAGCTCCCTGAAATGTTACTGCTGGGGATCTGCTCACGACCAGTGCCATTGTGGTCTGTGCTTACTGCAGAGCTCAGTATGGCTGGCACAAACGCAGCCTCCATGACGCTGTCAGGCTGGGTGTGGCTCAGACAGAGCGCTGCCCTGGCTGGGGCAAGGCCTGGTCCATCCCTGGTACAAGAATAAGTAAACACCATTGCTGTCATCGCCAAGGACTGTTCATCCTACTGTGCATCCAGCCCTCAAGGGCTCAAGGTACAAAGTGTGCTGCACAACTGTGTGACCAGTGTGACTTTTTTTTGTGGTTTTTTTTGCAGTATGGGGGATCAAACTCAGGACCTTGCATTTGCAAGGCAGGCACAGCATCACTGAGCTATGTCCCCTGCCCTGAGTGTGACTGTTTGTGAGGATCTTTTTAGTTTTTTGGGACAGGGTTTCACTATGTAGCCCAGGCTGGCTTCAAACTCAGTGGTTCTCCTGCTTCAGCCTCCTGAGTGCTGTGACTACAGATGTGTGGCCCCACGCCTAGCTGTAATTGTGTTTTTAAAGCATGTGGCCTAGTGTTCTGTGCGGTGCTGACAGGCGCCGGGGCACGCCCTCCCGTGCCAGCCTTGGAGTCACGGTGTCACCCCAACCCTCTGATCCTCTCCCGTTCCTCATAACCAGAAAATACACAGGAACAGCATCATCAGAAGGTCCATCTCTAGAGCCTGCAGGAAGCACCTGGCAGAGTCCTGTGGGGGAGATTTGACCAGAAAGAATCCTGGAAACCTGGACACGGCGGCCTGCATTGCTGCGGCAGAACTGCATCCCGTCTCTGTCCCCACAGCTGGCTGGTGGCACGTGAACTTCTTGCAGCAGGTGTCTGGGATCCACTTGGGCCGTGCAGCATCTCTCCTGCTAATGTGGCCTGGCTCCTCTCCTCCGGCCCACACGGGCCGCGCTGTGCAGGACGCGTCCCCACCCACTAAATGCCTGGATGTTTTATTCCCTCTAGAGAAAGCCAATGTGAAGCAGAAGCCGAGCAAGAAGAAAGCTGTCATTCCACAAATCGTCATCACTCGGGCTTCCACCGAGAGCCTAACCAGCTACAGTTCCCTGCGGAGCGAGGAGCAGAGGACCATTCAGGAGCAGGCCGACTGGGGCCCCTACTCACGACACAGGAGCCCCAGCACGGCCGCTGCCTTCAGCCCTCACGCCAAGGAATAAATGAGCGCAGGGAGCCGTGTGTACACTGAGTCTTGCTCGGCCCTGTGGGGAGCCCGTGTACTACATGCTGCACCTATGATCTAGTTCCAAGCCTCGGGGACTGGGTGGAGAGCAGGAGGGACCGGCCCAGGGTGCGGAGTGTACCACGTGAACGAGCTGGCACATCCCCAAGTCTGTGGGAAGTGGCTGGCTGTGCAGAGCTGGGGACACGGGTGGCTTGATGGCCCTTTAGAGGGTGTGAACGCTGTGCCCCAAACTCGGGAACAGGTCAGAGTCTGAGGACTGAGCTATGGTGTGATGCTCGGGCAGAGCAGTGGAAAGTCATGTTGGTGAGGGCTCCTAGCTGACCGTGAGCTGACCCAGAGTGCTGAGGCCCGAAGGGCCAGGTGTGTTGGTGCGCGCCCGTAACCAGCACTCTGGGAGGCTGCAGCAGGACTGCAAGACCGTATTGGGGGAGGGCAGCCAAGAGCCAAGACACTGAGGCTGTGGAAGTGGCCTTGCTAGAGCTGTCCTCTCTCTGGCTCCATGGACAAGAGATCTCTAGGGTGCAGAGCCAGCTGGGATCCAGTGTGGCACTGCAGGGCAGCCTCTCTGATGGGTCACCTCGCCGCAGCCTCAGGCCAGGGTGCTACAGAAGCCCTGCAGGCCTATCTAGTGTAGGAGTGTGTACACGTGCATGCGCGCGCGCACACACACACACAGTCCTACTATATAGTGTCATGTCTAGTATTCACACACATGTATTATACACTCACATGGTCCTATCTAGTACACAGCTGCACACAGTCCTTTCCAGTATACAGTCCTATCTAATACATGGTCCTAGCTAGTACACAGGCACCCACACATCCTATCCATTACACACACACAGTCTTTTTTTATTTTTATTTTTTGTGTTTTTGAGATAGGGTCTCACTGTATAGTTGAGACTGACCTGGAACTCACTGTGTAACCCAGGATGGTCTCGAACTCACAGTGATCCTCCTGCCTCAGCTTCCCAAGTGCTGGGATTAAAGGTGTGCATTGCCACGTCCGGCACGCACAGTCTTATCTAGTGCATACGCAGATAGTCATATGCAGTACATACACACAGTCCTACATAGTATATACAGTTATACCTTGTACACACAACCTACCTAGTGTATACCTATCTCCTAGTACATATGCACATATTTATTCAGTAAATACATGTACACATTCTATCTAGTACATACAGCCTCTGTAGTACATAAACATACTCTTCCCTGGTACATACACACATAGTCCTAAGTTGTACACACACACATACACACACACACACTACCCTAGCTAGTACATACATGCACAGTCTTATCTAGTACATACACAGAGTTCTATTTAGTGTTCACAGCAGTCTAAATTAGTACATATTATACACATGCAGTCCTATGTCTACATATATACACCGTTGTTCCTAGTACACACAGTCTTGTACCTGGTACACACACACACACACATACACAGTCCTGCCTAGTACACATATATACATGTAGCCCTTTTTAGTACCTACATTCATGCATGCAGATCTACCTACTACACATACACAGAGGCCTGTCTAGTACAGGTATGTAGTACCATATACCTAGTCCATGCATATATACATACAATCCTATTTGGTACATGCACATAGCATGCAATCAGTCCTACCTGGTACACAGATAATGCATTCAGGCCTATGCAGTTCATGCATACATACACATAAACATAGTTCTACTACATGCAAATGCATACATGTAAAGTATACTGTATAGTACATACATATAGTGCATATATAACATGCATACAGTTCTGTCTCATTCTTTTTTTTTGTTTTGTTTTTTGAGACAGGGTCTCACTATGTAGTTGAGACTGACCTGGAACTCACTATGTAGCCCAGGCTGATCTGGACTCACAGCGATCCTCCTGCCTCAGCCTCCAGAGTGCTGGGATTATAGGCATGCGCCAGCATGCCCAGCTTCTGTCTCATTCTTTATATAGGCTTGTTTATATCTTTATATGCCTATCTAGTACATACACATATACATATAGTCCTATCTAGCACATACATAAAACAACCCTACCTAGTACATACGTGCAAGCCAACCTAGTAATAAATTCATACGTGTAGGAAATCATGCATGTATACATGCCTACATATTGTAAGTAATACATACAGGCACACCTATCTAGTACATTCATACAATCCTCTGTGTAGATATATAATGGATAAACTTTTTTTTTGGTACTGGGGCATTGAACTTGGGGCCTTGCACTTGTGAGGCATGTGCCAGAACCACTGAGCTAAATCCCCAGATATATATATATAT